CGCCCCCCCCCCGAGAATGGGTCGCGAAATTTTTGAAAGTTACTTATATGGGTTATAAAAATGTGTAAGTGACTTGTTCATTTTTGTAAATAATTAAAATAATTTTTTGAAAATTTTTAAAAATACAAATTAGCCTTGTAAAAAAATTTTTTTCGAGGGCGTGGCTGACGCCACGCCCCCTTTTTCCAGATTTTAGGGGTCGGGGACCCGAAAAAACTTTGGGAAGCACCCCCAAAAATTTTTCGGAGTGCGTGGCTAACACCACGCACCTTCTTTAGAAAAAAATTTTTGTCGCGCCCCCCCCCCCCCCGAGCCGAAATCCTGGGTACGCCACTGATATGTGGTTATGGTTTAGCAATACTTTGCCAGTTGTACAACACACACGTGCTCGCTCGCTCGTATTGTTTTGCTATAGTAGGAATGTACAGATGCTAGCATCAGATGTGAACTGTTCATACTTATGTGGTACATCTCTGGAACCCATGCACAGGTGTGGCCTAAAGTTGTAGCCTTAGCACATAAGCACCATAATTTCTCAAGTACAAGGCGCACCCAATTTTTTCATAACTCGATCAGCCTGAACACAGTAAAAAACTTTGCGACCAAAGTCCTCTACGGTGCTATAGGGGCCTGCAGGATCGCGAGAGTCGGACGTGCGTACGGCCATTGCGCCGCGCACGTCAAATGTGTGTACAACGACTCAGGTAGACGGCAGACTTACCCTATTGAACAGGTTCATTTGGTTCACCTCCTCTGCTGTTGGACAAGCGCCGCAAATCATGCGAATACGGTCACGATGCATGGTTTGGAGCTTAGTATCTTAGCCGTGAGTGCACTATCTGAACTGCCGCTTGGGCAGAGTCTTATTTAAAGGCAGCGTCCAGGCAGATTCTCGACTTCTTTTTTATGTTATCCAGGCCTTTCCATGACGCTGATTCCGAATATGGAACTCAAAAAGCGTGAATTTCTCAGAAAACACCTTTTGGGGCTATTTTGGGAAAACAAAGACAAGTGCTTCTGATGTTTTCCTTGTCGAAAGCAAGTATTAACAGGTAAACGCAGTAAGTTCGACTGCGTTGGTCATGTGAAAACACGTCAAGGCTGAGGAGATTTCGTTCATAAGGGGTTGGCCGTCCGAAGAAAGTGGGCGTGGTCGTCGAGCTCGGACCTGCCTGGACGCTGTCTTTAAAGGCAGTGTCTCACCAAAATTTAGTTGCCGAGATTATTGCATTTTGCAAGCGTCGGACCCTGTCTAGCACTGTATGGCCTTGAAATCGCACGAAGTTCCCAAAAACCCCGTTTTCTGGAGGCCCCTCGGAAGCAACGTGGACGACTTGTACCTTCCAACTTCAGCCTCAGCCACAGTGTCAGCAACAGAGGGGAGGTGGATGCCAAGTGGAGGGACATGTTCAAACGCGTAAGGGGGAGACCGAAGGAGTCGTCCGCGCGTACCAACTGGCTCTCCGCGTGCCACTTTGAGCGAATTTTCCTCAGCGTGGAGGGGGTCAAATTGAGTGGGACTTGTTGCAATGGCCTATCTAGAGGTCCCTATAATATAATAGAATATGTAAAGATCCGCGCGACCTCAACTTTGGTGAGACACTGCCTTTAAGGCCTCTAGATTACTTTCCACGTGAGAGCCCCATAGGTCCATATTTGCCTGGACGCTGCCTTTAACGGACGAAGTGACATTAGACGAGAAGAGGTAACTTAGCAGCGCTCCTGCGCTCCTCCACACTGTTTCACCCGGGACAAATTTTTAAATGGAGAAATTTAAAACCATATAAGCAGCAGCGTCCGTCAACTTCCAATCCTTTCTACCTTCACAGAAGCGACCTTACCCAGCATTGTACTTAAGGAGATAGAAGCATGATCAGCTACTATCAACTTGTCCGGGAAAGCCTGCCGCATCATGACCCACCATATCACGGCTATGATATGCAAAAAGTGGGTGGCGTACTATTGGTCAAAGCAAACTTTACAGAAAAAGTTTTCAGTTTTCAACATGTCGGACCCTTAACTTCAGGCATATACCCCGTACATCAGATATTGGTATTCACAATTGTGCGATGTTTATCTATAAAAATCGAGAAAATGGAATCTGGGCAAGCTTTTGCCAAAACAGTTTAGAGCATTTAGAGCTTACCCCGACTATTTGATCTTAAAGTCTTAACATCTGGAAATATAATCGTAAAATTCCAGCTCTCTACAAGCCCTGATTTCGAGATAAATCAGAGCACACAAAAACAGCAAAAGACGACATTCCTGTGAGCTACAGCTGTGTAGAGAACTCGTCAACTGTTCAATTGAATGTACGAAATGGAAAGTACATGCGTGAGCAAATCTGGGATCCGTAGGAAATCTATCAACTTGCCGAACCTTTTTAAGTATTATTTTGTCTTCAAACTCCTTGTGGATCAAAGATTGTCCAAATTTTCAAATGTCATCTTGTAGTCGTCCACCCATCGATATACCATTCGAAAGCTTAGCATATTGCATAGAATGGCTCGTCCTTTTTTCCACCTTTGGACTGAAAAATGAGGAAGTCCATTATCCACGATGCTGATATTGTGCGATCAGTTTGCCCTTAATTTTTAATCGAAAGGAATGCTGGAAAAAGGAAACGATCTAAGTCTAACCCTACTTAGCCTTAGTTTGTATACAATCAGACCACCAGGCATCTTTATTCATTCTTGCGTAAAGATTTCCTTAATACGTAGCTCAGAACACAAGGAATCGACGTAGAGCTTTTTTCTTCTTTGTAGCTTCTTTTCTAGAGCGAAACATGAAGATTTTTTCAATTGGGATATTGGTAAGATTTGTGTCGTTATCTTATGCTTCATTCTCAAGAGAGAAAGTTTTTGTCAATACCTTGGATATTTATTCGAAAGGCTAAAAAGAACGATTTGATTGCGCTCTAAATTTTTATTCTGCTTTTCTATGCAAGAAAATCTGGTCGAATTCTTGTCGGTTACCATACATCCATCACTGACCGAACCTTCGCCACGCCACGCGACGCGATGCTAGTTGCTACAGAAAAGGGAGCCCGTGATTGACACAGAATGTCATGTCTGAGTGAGGCATGAGTCTCAAATAAGCGTTTTATCCCAGAAAGTGCTCTTCCATGGTTTTTGGAAATGCAGTCATGCCTGATTGAGAATAAGCAAAGCAACGACCATCGTTATGCTTTCAGAAGCCTATTTTTATCACCTGTTTGGTTTTGCCATTCTGCTTTGACTCTGTCTCAATCTTATGTGAAGGGGTCATTTAGGTGCCTTGAAGGTGGAGGAAATCGGAGCGGTTGCTCGACCTCCCTACTAAAGGATAAGAAGGATAAAGGATTCGGCGTCTTCAGTACCCTCTGAGGGCATGCGCCGAACGCACACACTAACTTCATAGTCGAAGAGGCAATTTGTATGCGTGCGAGCCTATTACAGTGACTTGCGGGGGCCAGCCGTTTCCAGGTCAGTGCTTTTATCCTCCCAGATTACTCTGGTACCAATTTACCGGCCCCGGAGGGTAGAGGGCTCGGTTGGCCCAGGGGCGGGGATCGAGCCTGTGTCCGATCTGGTCATGGCGGCGCCTCATACCGCTACGCTACTCGTCCCCGACCTCACTACCAGGCTTTTAAATGTTGTAAATCCAGTATCGCACAAATTTCATGTTGTTCCTCATGTACTGTATAGTATGCAAAAAATGAAGTGCAGCCGCTTAATCCCAAGCACGATGATTTATGGCTTGGTCATATTCAGATAACATACAGACATACAGTTCAACCGAATGACATTCGATTCGATTATCATGCAAAAGTCGAAAATTAACACAGATTAAATAACAATCGATAGTCAATTAATGAATTATTAGGCCGGTCTGAAAGTTCGCGCCGTTTTTTACGGCTATGGTCAGATAACTCAAAATAAAGATAGTTGAACTGAAGGGTATTCGATGCAGAATTTCCTCCTCTTCGCAGAAGTTTGTTTTTGTCCCAAATCGTCGCTCGATTATTGTCGGAATCTTCAACCCATGTTTTTTTTTACCTAAAATTCAGCTAGTTTTCATGAATTTTCCTTTCATACATTCATAAAAACTTTAATAACGGTTAGATACACTCAACAAAACACAGCAAAGTGTTTTTTTTCGGTACGAAAGCTGGTTTTTTAAATATGTTTTTTTTTCGGTACGAAAGCTGGTTTTCTCACTGGATGCGGTTTCTCCTCTTTCTCTCCTCTTTCCAGTAAGTGTTTTTCCTTTCCAAGGTAACAAGTCTTCGAAAAAAAATCATCATAGATTTGATTTTTACGTCCCAGGCTGTAGCCGGAAAGTTCGGATTTCGGTATTCCGAAACGATAAACAGCATACGCTTTGTACAATTAGCGTTCAAACACAATATTTTCGGCAATTCAAGCTACAAGATCTGTTAATGTCTCGATTTTTTTCTTGTTACATCAGTGAAGACTTCTGGAAAATACATTAAAGATGCTGGCAAGTCAACTCAGAAGTCCAAAATATCCATTGTATCGCACTTTGTTTGATCTATTCATTCGTTACCAAAGTCCTTCCAAAATTTCAAAGGGAAAATATTTAGAATCAGCCAAAATGAGGCTAAATGGCCATAGCTTGGAGACCTGACATATTAAAAAAAAGGCATTTGCACATTTTTATACCCCATGTAAGTAAATTTTAACATTTCGTGACCCATTCTTGGAGGGGGGGGGGGGCGCTCTAATTGAATTTCGGGTAGAGTCAGCCCTTTTCCATATCGAGGAAACGCGCTATACCAAACACAAGGATATAAGGACTATGTACAGGTAGTGTTTTAACCTTTTTCAAAACAATCCAGTCAGCCCTCCTTTTCTACTAAGGAGTTCCGGGAGATCTACTAAACATTCTTCATCTTCGTTTAAGGGTAGGAACGGGACGGAATTTTGATTTTTATTATCTAATAACAACATCTGTGGTTCATTGTCCATAATTTTTAGTTAGTTTGATTCCAATGAATACTGTGATTCTAAATTCACCCGTTATATCTAAGCTGACACATAGATACAAGAAGAAATTCTCGCATTTTTCATTGAAAATGAGCTAAAAAGTATCTTTTCATGCATTGTTCTGAATGCTTGCAACTCAAAATGACAAAGACTATGCGTCATTCAATTCACATTTTCGATGTGACATTTCTACTCATCAAAACAATGTCAACAACATAGAAAGTCAGTGTGAGCATAGCAGACGATGCATGAAGTGCTGACTATATCCTAACAGACATTCAATCATTTCTAAGGCACTTGCGATTTGCCAGCTACAATCCTCTTAGGGTCGCGGGCTTCCATCTCTTTCATCGAGCCCTGACAAGAAGAAAAATTCGAGAACAGCATTTGGGACAGGAGGAATAAGTATATATCAATAAGAAAAAAGCCAGCAGCACACTCACGTTGTAAACTCTTGGAGATGTTTCTGGAACAGCAATTTCCATGATGTGAGCTAGCATGGATGCCTGCATACCCGTATTGCAGATTGTCACCACAGGATGATTCGGCTTATAACCTTTCTGTGTGAACCCTGTAAAAAAGTCAAATATTTTTTAGAAGATTCAAATTCTTACAAACATTCACGAATGTCCTCGAATGATTTCAGCTCTCCATTTTCATTTATCAGATCAACTGCTGGTGCATTCTTAAAGCCGGGTATGTGGCTTCCTTTCACTCCTGAAGATAGATGAAGACAATGAGACTAGCAATGAACATAGCGGAACGGGCTAGGATCTGATTCAAAAGGAAAGCTTATACTATGGGCATCCAGTCCGGTCTCTTCCGTACCCTCAAACTGTTGGCGAACACGTGCGTCCAAGAAGTTGACCTAAAGATATAGCAAGTTCGTGTAGAAAAATCATAGATGTCGTACAAATACGATAATATGACAATGACATACTTTTGGAATAAGGATACAGCAGTGCTGCGGCAAACATGTTCCGACTAACCTCCTCCGTTCGCTCTATATAAGCCTTATCACCATCCTTGTTTTCCAGTTCTTCGAATTTGATGTTATGTTTCTCAATCTGATCACTCGCTCTCCAATTTCCAGTCTGCAAGTGGGGTCTTGTATGTGTGCTCAATGAAGATGTCAGGAAAGAGAAAACATCCATTCGCTTTTTTTTTGCTTGAGCGCGGTTGCGATGTGGGAATATCAATTCCGCAGAAGAATCGCTTGAAGAAGGATAAAACCACCACTCATCAACTGATTGAAGGCACTCTAAGTCAGGGGTCTTATCACGCTAGTAGAACCCTCTATTAAAGGCAGTGTCCGGGCAAAAACTCGATTTTGAGATTTTGTGCTTATACGGGCCTATCCGCCATGCTGAATCCGAAAATCCACATTGGAAAGCGCGAAAACGGCGAAAAAGGGCTCTAATATAGGATAGAAATCAGCAGGTGGGCGGGGCTTCCCCCAGTGCGATTTCACGCTCCCAGCTCCTGGAGCGATTTTCTCGATTCCGCTAGCCGTTCTAACATCGCCACCGGCCAAGTGCGAATGATTGACTTGAAACCGGAAGCGAGAAGGTCGCTCCGGAAGCCGGGAACGTGAATTCGCAGTGGGGAGGGCCCCGCCCACCTGCTCATTTCCCTCCTGTGTTAGAGCCGTTTTTCGCCATTTTCGCGCTCTTCAAGCATTTTCGGATTCAGCGTAGCGAATAGCCAATGCCCATGTCGCGGCCATACCCATGTCAAAATATCGCTTCGGAAGGAGAAAAATCGCTTCGGAATAGCAAACAGGCATGAGACCCCACGTCGGCACAGCGCCCCCCCCCCCCTTCCCCCACTTTAGTAATGCCCGTCTGGCCGTATGCGCCCATCCAAACTGTTCCGAAAAACCGGCAATGGGTTCTCGGGACGGGAATTGCGGGGTTTTAGCGGATTCTCGACTTCATATTCAGAATTGTGGACATAAGAAGTCCCCAGAAGGACTAAATTATAGAAGTCGAGAATCTGGGTGGAGGGTGGGTGCCTTTAAGACTTTAGAATAACGAGCGGAGTTAGGTCTAGAAGTGATTTACCATAGAAACATCAAAGCCGCACACCTCAAAGTGATCAGGAAATAAACTTTACCGGTAGCAGTACTTCTTCTTTGCTAAGTTCATGTCCTAACCTCACCCAACGTTCAAGACCTCCGTTCAGTATTGATATTTTGTCCGGGCTATGACCATACGACTGCAAATAGAAGAGGAGCATGGTTTAATGACAGAAATTTCATGCATACCTTGAAAAGCCATGCAGCTTTCGAACTAAACATCATTCCTCCTATAGCGCCACGTGAATAGAGTATGATGTGTTCTCCTTGATTGACACCAATCATCTACTATTTCAAAATCTGGTGGGATAACATGGGAAAATCAATGGCTGTGAACTACAACCTACTCTTTTTCTTTTGCCAAAATATTGCTAGCTTAATTAAAATCAGGTGCGATCTAACGAGATCAATCTATCAAGCGAGATCAATTTATCAAGTGATTACCTGAATATATTTTTCAAAAAGTTCCGCAGGATAAAGAGCAAATCTCTCGTATTGGGATGGATACAATGCTGCATCGAAAGACATAAATGCAGCTTCAGGGAGATGTCCAAGAAGATACATCTTTTTCGATCTAAAATCGAAAAAAAACATTCAGCCTCAATATATAAGCACTAAAAGATATTGTGTATTTTACGCCCGAACATCAAGAATCGACAGAAAGTTTGATTTGTAATGATGCATAGGTTCTGACGCATTCCTACTTCGCGCAGGCAAGGGGTCATAGAAGCTTCAATCGTTAAAGGCATCGTCCACTCAAAATTTCGACCTCCATGTTTTTGCCATTCCCGGGACTTCTCATACCCTGATTCCGAATATCAAGTCGGAAATTCGCAAATCACGAAAAACCCCCGTTTTCAGAACCCACAGAGCGATTTCTTCAGAACGATGATTGGTTGGGAGCGCACGGATGGGCGGGACGAAAGTCACACCCACTCAAAAAGGAGGAGCCAAAGTGGCGAATCTGTCATCCGAGCGATTTTCGAAGTAATTTTCTCGCTTCGAAGGCAACTTTTGCCAGCGCGAGTTGGGTAAATATACAGTTGAGGGCCACCTGTTAGGCATCAAAGTCTCATCGACCCCAATTTGGGTGGACGGTGCTTTTGATAAGGCATGGGAAAATAGCTAAAGAACATCGCGGACGCAATGCAACCTCAAGCGAGGCGGCCGCGCTGGACCCGAGCCGCTGATGCACCTAACACTGCAGTCGAGATAGCTTGTAGTATTGATCGTAGTAGTAATAACAGTAATGTAGTTAAAGGCACCCTCCAAATTGAGGGTGGTGCTATTAAAACTGTACAACAGCATGGTCCTAACTAAGTAAATGCTCGAACCCTCCGACAAAAAACGAATTCCGAAAAAAAAATCGTTCTAGAGTTTGACTCCAGACACGTCGAAAACCTCTCATTACGAATCCGATTTGTGACGCTTGTAGCTACCTGATACTCTTTAGCACACTTTACTTCCGAAGCACACACGATAATTTGCGACACAGAAGTGCCCAGTAATTTCTGGAGCAATTTCCTCGCTTCGAAATTCATCCTTTGCAGCGGTAATTGCTTAATAAGGGGCCTCGCTATTATGCAGCATCAAAATCTACCCTCTTTGGATGGATGGTGCTAACACAAAGAAATAACACTGTTGACACCGGTAACGGTAGTGATGGCAGAAGGTAACCAAAGTGCGGCAGAATCTTGACATAAAAAAGGAAGAAAAAAGTGCCAAAATAAGAAGAAGCACTTACAAGCTTGGTTGTGCTAGAATTTCCTTGAAATTTCCATACAGATCCGCCTTGAACTTCTTCCAGTCCGGTTTCGTCCCAACGGCATAGGAACAGTCAAGTAATCTGACTCCTTCTTTGTTTATTACATTCTTTTTCAACAGCTCAGCGAGTGTTGGAACATCAATAATCCGTTTGAGAGACATCTCTGCAAAGAAGCAATGGAGATTCACTATTTCTTTGCAATGCCCCAATAATGAGATAGATATATACCAGATATTATATACAACTGGTTGGCGAGAACTTGTCCGTATTCCCTTATTGGATCCTATATAAGCAAAAGTAAAAAGTCAAAAACCTTCTCTTCGCAGCTTTCAGATGACAGGAAGGCTCGTGTTCTTTGAGGAGAGAAGTCAGACAGCGAAGCAAAATCAGCTACGCGCGCGCTGAAGAGCGTTCGTCGTCGACGCATCGTTGTTTTCTTTTTTCTTTTCTTTTTTGAACTTTTCGGGCTGATCTTAATCTTCTTCAGTGCTTTGTCAACATTTATTATTGTAGCATTGTAGGAAAAAGACGACACAACTCGCATTTTTTCATTGTCGATTTAGCGCTTTGGTTTCCACATCGACTTGACCAAGGTTCTTTTACCTTCTTTTCTTTTCTCATTCTAATCGAGTATCATTCGTTCTGTTTTTGTCGCCATTTCTTCTTCGATGTTGAGTTGATTCGATTTAGGACCTCAGCCTTGGCTGCAGATCTTTCTGCTATGGCGGCAATTCTGATTTTGTCGAGCTTGGCGCTTGTCTCAGGCAAAGGCCTTATGTTGCTGGAAGAAAGCCGAGGACAAACACTTGCATATCCGCTTGAGAAGTAAGTATTTTCAGTTTTTGGCCACACAGTAGGTCTTGATAGATAAGCTTAAAACATTCCTGTAGTATGCGGTAATTTTGACTTTCAACTCTGAAATTACGCGTTATTTAGTATCAAGTGTCCTTTTTTGTGGGGACTGTAGATATGCGTCTCAGACTACAAATAATCACTTGAAACTCTTGCCGTCGCATCCTGCTATGGCTTACGACTTCGCTCCCAGACAAATCACCGGAACTTCCGCAGGACAAGCCAAATTTGCAGAAGTTTCGCAGGATTTTGTTCACTATTGCAAAAATGAAAACGTTGGAAATCGGAACTTCCGCGGGATTTTCATGCCAAACTGGTTGAAAACCGGAACTTTCGCAGAGCCTTCTTCAAAGTTCTGCGGAATATCCCGAAAAATGGCAGAGGTTCCGCAGCACTGTGGCCTGCCAGAACTTCCGCAGGACTTTGAATGTGTTGTCTCGTGATGCTGCCTCGCCAACAACTAGAGTGCATTATCGAACATGTCAGCCGTAGCGTAGAGGATAGTAGGTGGGACTCACAGTCAATAGAGTGAGGTTTAAATGTCGTTTCGGTGTTCTCTTTTGCTGTTGTTATTGGCGTTCTTCGGACTTCCACAGGACCTCATTTCGGAACTTCCGCAGCACGTTTACGGAACTTCCTCAGGTGACCCGGCGGAACTTCCGCAAGTGCTCTGCGGAAGTTCCGGTCATTTGTCTGAGTGTTTATCCCGTACTTGAAAATAGTAAGTTTTGGACGCCTGACAGCCCAAGCAAATTTTTTGCATAGATCTAGACAAAGATTTCGCATTTTGTGGAATTAGGAACAGTGACAAATTGCAATTATTTGATTTTACGACAACTAATAACGTTGATATTTCATGATTTATGTAGCTGTGATCTCCCTGTCATTACCGTTTTACTTTGCTCAAGCATTTTTTGATTGCGTATTTTTTATCTTCCTCAAGCTATTCCGAGATTATTTCAGCGTACCTACTGCACCGATAGAGAACCACGTCCTTGACATCCTGGAGCTGGAGGAACCACCTCCTCTCGTGTCTTTGCTAAAACGAAATGAGAAAGTCACTAATTTCATGGCACAACTGTATCATGATCTTGAAAAGAGCAATGATGGGTAAGGCTATTACATTTTTTTGCCCATCATCGATATTCTATTAGGATTCGTCCAAGTGCTGAACCCAGCGGTGAGGATTGGAGTTCTGCTGACAGAATAGTCTCTTTCTCACCCACTGGTTAGTTATTTGCATCCATCATGCAAGTACTTCACCAGTCTTTGAAATATGCGAGAACGAAAGAAGGCATTGGTGTGTTGAAATTAGAGCCCGACGAAAATCTGTATCCTTCAACGAGCCACTATCACCTATCATTGAGTGCGTACAGCGATGCCGCTTGAAGTATTGGTAATTTTGGACTACGCTATAAGAAACGTGGTCCGATTTCATTGATTACCTTGCCGAAATGCTCACGATCTCGAAACTCTGAGTCATATTCGAAGGTTGGGTAACCTGTTATGGTCTGTTGGTCCTAAAAGATTGATCACTGTGTTCTTGTTACTACTATAGCAACCGAAGTTGGTAATTTTCCTTGCCCTACACCAAATACTCGCCATTGCAATACACACGGAAAAATCATACCAACCTCAAACCTTGTAACCCAATCTGCCAATCACCCTTTTTCAGAAACTAAACATGTTGAAGGATTATTTGTGAGCAAGTACAATCGTGAAGATCTCCCATCAAGCACTTCTCAGTTAGTAGCTGCTCAACTGCGAATTTTCCTGCCAGAAGAAACTACATTTGCGAAAGTATCGATCTATAGCAAAAAGTAAGCCATTTGTTACGTTGATGCTCTATTTTGTTTGTGGCCTTCAAACAATGCAAAACTTCTCACCTTACGGGCTACATTGTAACTATATTGTTTAGTTCTGGAAATCTCGAACTAATTGGATCCACCATAGCTACGTCACGGGAGAAAACTGTGAGCTTTAATGTCAGTCAGATCGTTTCCAAATGGATGAATGATGTTTTCGAGCCACAAATCTACATTAGGCTAGATGGCGGTTAGTGGCAGCTTTTTTGCTCATAAGTCTTAAGTCTTTTCAATATAGGTATCGACTCCATGCGCAGTGCAAATTCGAAGTTGGAGAGCTTTATACTTGCCGTATTTGTCGATGGAGGTTACAACATCCCCCCTCCACGAACTAGGTCAAAACGTTCCGTGGAAACAGTTTCTGGAGAAGATTCTGCTAGCCTCAAGGAAGCAGAAGCTACTAAAATAGTACACAGTACGCAATTTTACGACACCTATTTATCCTTCCTTTTCCTCGCATATCTGACTTTTTGCTGATTACTTTGCTCTTTTTTTGCTAATTTTCATCAGAAGTAATGTGTTATGCTCCACCTTAGTGTTTAACAAGTGAAGGTAGAGCATTGCCCGACAAAGTAGGCAATTTACTGTGTCCTTATGACTTAACTTATTCTAAGTAAGGTGGTGGAGGAGGTAGGTGGTAAAACATTTGGTTTTGCCGAGTGTTTCATCCTTCCCCCCCCCCCTCCCCCACCCCCTCCGAAAAAAACACTTTTCACATGGCTTTCCGAAGATGCAAAAACGAAGCTCCCCCCTGACTTAACGAAAAAATTTTTTTTGCAAAATTTTACGAAGTTCCCTACGACCCTTATTCGAAATATCCGAATCGACTAAAAACGAAACGTCGACTAGATGAACCTGATTTCGGACCCGCAAAAACGATATCCCCTTTCCTTTTTTGTCTCAGAAATGATATCCACCTTGCTTATAAGCCACCTATATCGAGCCCTGATTAGGAACTCACTAATATCTGGCTTTTGATGTCCAGCTTTTGTTTTTTGCCTTGCTATATGACTTTTCTTGCAGGTGAGGTGGAAGGTTGTCATGTGCAAAGTCTCTATCTCAACTTCGCCGATATAGGGTGGCGGGTGAGTTTTCTTTATCTGATAAGTTCTTCGCGATTGCGTAGTCTCTACTTCCGCATTCTAATCTTGTTATCTCATCTGCTCTAATAAACGATACAGACAAAGAAATGACTGAAATTCAATGTATATACTTTTACCCGTCTTATGATTTGGGAAGGTTTGCATACTTCCAAGAACTTCTTCTAGGAATGGGTCATTGCCCCTGAAGGATATTCTGCGAACTACTGTGTTGGCGCTTGTTCAAGCGACTCGCCGATGCATAGCAAAATGAATGCAACCAACCACGCAATTGTGCAAACCTTGGTAATGACTGCAGAAATCTAAGCCGATTTTTGCATATTGTGTCGGGTCACCTAACCTCTTCATCGCAGGTCCATTTGGTGGATCCCAAACGTGCGGACGAAGCGAAGTGTGCGCCAGTGCAGTTATCACCAGCCAAAATCCTTTTCATTGATAACCATGGGAACGTGGTCATGAGAAGATACCAAGATATGACAGTGCAGGAATGTGGTTGTCTATAGGAACTTTGTTTCTAATTCTGGCTACGCAGAATCCGAAGTTGTCCGTCTCATCTGGAACGCTTAGTGAGCTAGGTTTCTTCTAGGAAATGTTGAAGAATTCAAATACGCTTAAGTACATTGAGGAAGGAAAAATGGCATGCAAAATTTCTGCTCTCAGAATTCGTTGACGTGCTTACCATATGCAGACGATTATCTCACAGTTCTGAGGAACGTCTCTTATATTAGTATCGGAGCTTATTTGCTTTGCATGTGTTTTATAGTCAGCAAATGCAAGTGAAGAGCATAATATGTGACTATTAGGAAAGTTGTTTCATACTCGGTGCTGTCGAATTTCCTGTTGTGGTTGTTTGATGTTTTGTTTTAATAGGCATAATTTGGCGCAGCCTTTGCTTTGTTCTGTGAATCTCTACTGGTTTATCATGATTACAATAACGGTGCTTCAAATGAATAAAATTTTACGTGAATGACTGGCTGGAATTACGTGCAATCGTGGCGAAGTATGCACTTACAATAAAAGCAAAGGATTTTATCATCATAATATATTTCTGAGAGTACCCTTTTAACAGGTGAAAATATAAAAGAAATGATAAATACATAAAAGTCCTGATATCAAACCAGATCATTGCGTTTCTTCTTCAGTTTTCTTTCGCCTCCAGATTGGTGGAACCACCAGGAAGAGCAGAGTCAGTGCATATAGAACACAGAAAATGATCGCGAAGTTGTAAACAAATTTGTAGTCTCCGCACACCAACGGGGCTTCACGGCTGCAAAAAGGAATCTGTGTGCAGTTTGCAAGACTGATTTTTGGAATTATTATCAAGATGAATGTGGGTTACAAGCGGCGCGAGTAGCAAAAGCTTCTATATTCCCCGTCTATCTACCATGCTTTATTTGCGCCAATGTCAAAATTTGGTTCCTTAGCTTGAATAGCTGAGTCGGCAGGATTCCATAGAATTTTTGCCCAGCCCCGTAGCTCAAATTTTGCAAAAAATCGATAAAATCGATATCGATCGATGACGAAAAGTAGCCTATGACACCCGCCGGGGCCCGAAGTGTATGTGTGCCAAGTTTGGTCGGGATCGGTTGAGAAATGGAATTTCCTATTCGGAACATACGGCGGAACCGGGTAAGCCAGCTAGTCAGATCATAAAATCTGCATTACCGTTAAAAGTTTCAGTCTGTGATCTCTAACTGCTGCAGTTGTAAGTCAAATACTGCCATAGGGCATAATCCTCTCACCCCACATTCCTCCCCCCCCCCCCCCCCCCTCCCTGCGCCCGCCTCTCCTGTTCGATTCTCGATGATTTTTTCAGTAGGAAAGACTGTTAATAACGGGACGGAACACTTGTTCCATCGCCTTGAAACTTACTCTGTAGGACAGCCGTCGTTGCCGTAGAGTCTATTGTACAAATCATCGTATTGTACAAAGCCAATGATGGCTTGGGCAATGCTGACTGCAAAAAGCAGTGCTCCAACTGTTTGATGCACAGGCATGAACTTCGTTCGCGTCTCGTCATTGATACCAGCAATAAAGAAACTGACGAATCCGAAAGTGAACTGAAATCAAGATTTTTGAGATCAGCAGTAGCAAGAAACCGATTGAGCGTGGAAAGAATATGAACTAAATCAATTAGAAGTGTGGTGGGTGTTTAAGAAAGTGTGGTGGGTGTTTAAGAAGTTATGTCCATAAGTTACGAGTAAGCAGAAGTCTCAGCACCTCTTTGAAAGCATGATTTGCTCTCAAGACACATGTGGGAGAGGAGTCACATCACCGTTAAAATTAAACCTTGTTGGAGCCTGCATAGGGGCCTTTCTTGAATAAATTCGTTTCCCTCAATTTCTTGCTATGAAAGTGCACCCTCCCTTTCCCCTGAAAATGTTTGGTGAAGTTTTGAAAGGGTCTACATGAGTTACAAAATTGTGCAGTCTTTTTTCTTGTAGTTAATGTGTAAGAATATTTTTCCAAAGCTTTTGAAAAATTGGGGTAGCTTTGCAAAATTATTTCGTAGGAGCCTGCTCATCGCCACACCTACTGAGTTATGCGCTAATAAATATTTTGGGGAGCATCCTGAATTTTTTTTTTGGAAAAAGCCGAAGGACTACACCCTTTTCACTCAGAAAACAACTTCTGTCGCCCCTGCTCCTGACCTCAAATAATTTCTCGGACAGGCGCTGCCTTCCAAAAGAGCTCTTCCTCTGTTACAGTCCTATCCTTACAGAGTAAGATTCCTCCTTCCTTAAGTAAGGTTTTCATTTCATTTATTCTACAGGGTGTCCAAAAAAGATGTACACACTGTTTGGCCGTCTATAACTCTCTTGCTTGAACGTCTTTTGCCGAGCATGAGGCGCCATTCTGGAGAGCGTGGTTCAACTTAGATTTGCAACATGGGGAAAACTCCGATCTCTCTCACTTACTGTAGGATTACGGTAGAAACTTTGAGAATAAGCTATTGAAAGCTAATAGGTTGAACCGAAAGTTCTGTCGTTTCATTTTCAAAAATTTGTAACTTCGCGAGATTTCAACGGATTTGCTTGCTTGTAATTTTATTAGAAAGATTAGGTCTTCCGCTTTCAATCGCTGTTTTGTGGAGCTTCTGTTTCACACTGAGTACAGAGATAAAAATGGAAAACTGAGACCATGTAAACTTTGACCATTTTAAGTTAGGTCACCAAAAATCTGGAATGCTGCAGAAAATCTGAAATCGTCAGTACATATATTTTTTGGCGTACTCTTTACATCTGTGAAACGTTTGTGCTGTTTGAACTCTCTGTGAGAAATTGTGGATATCGAGTTCACAATGGAAAACGCCAAAATTAATTAATTTGTCAATTTTCGCAAAAATCATAACTTCTCACAGAGAGATCTAAACAGCACAAACTCTTCACAATTGCAAAGAATAGGCCAAAAAACACATGTACTGACGATTTCAGATTTTTCTGCAGCATTCCAGATTTTTGGTGACCTATCTTAAAATGGTCAAAGTTTACATGTTAGTTTTCCATTTTTATCTCTGCACTCAGTGTGAAACAGAAGCTCCACAAAACAACGATTGAAAGTGAAAGACTTATTCTTAGTCATAAAATTATAGGCAATCAAATCCGTTGAAATCTCGCGAAGTTACAAATTTTCGAAAATGAAACGACAGAACTTTCGGTTCAACTTAATATATTCTGCTTCAGAAAGAACACCAAACAAGCCAGAAGCTCTTATACTGGGCTAATCGAGATTTCAAATGTGGAATCCCCAATTCACTGCAATGCTTTTATGATAAGTTATTTCAGGTTTAGGGTAACAACCGTTTTCCTATATCTGTCAGAAATGTGATTACAGCACTAAAAAGCTCGAAAGAGTGGTAAAAAGTTGCACAGTGAAATCAGCACGCTTGAATACCTTGCTACACGAATTTCCAGATTTTTTGAAATTATTTTCATCAAAATCCGTATTCCAGAGTGGCGCTGTGTGCTCAATATTTATATCGTAATCCTACAGTAATAAAGATCGATTGATGATCTGCAAATCTAAGTTCAACCTCGCTCTACTGAATGGCACCTCAAGCTTGAAAGACATAAAAGCATAAAAGCAACGATCAAACAGTGTGCACATCTTTTTGGGACACCCTGTATTTAGTTCACAGAGAATGAGTGACTTCGTGTTTATTTGCTCACCAAGGAGTCGATATGCATTAAGGAGGGAAGTTATCAGTAATTTTCTAACAGTCTTAATCAGGCTTAGCTGCGTTTTTGTTTTTGTCAAAAGCAAATGTCAGAATGGCGAGCTGCCGTTTATTGATGAATACTGCTGGGACTAAAATTTTCCATGCCAAACCATACTCTTGAAGCACCTCACATTAAATAAGGTCTGCGGGAGAAATGGGTGCACTTTAGTTCTCTCCTACAATCAAACTTAACAATCTTAACAATCGAGGTTTCTTTTGTCAGAAACAAATGATGCGCAAATTTTTTGCATCTGTTTGATAAAGCATGAGTTGTTGAGAAAAACACTGAAGATAATCTTGCAGTTTTCCAAGTTTAGTTATAGCGTAGCACTCAAGCGTTTAAGAGAGAGTCAGAGACACGCTTTTCGTGTCGAAAAAGCTCAGAATTTCAAGATAAAAAATTCTAAATTGATTGGAAAGAAATTCAGTTTGCGAATCCCTGACACATCAGAGCAAAGTCCAGGGCAAAGTCTGGTATCGGCGGAACTGCTTGAGCATCAGCATTTTTTTTACAACGAAAGGAAATCGCGTGCGTTGATCTAGACAGAAAAAGTTTCTTTACTTTATTCTCAAAGAATTACATGAAATAAATTCCTTGGTAAGTTAACCAAAGACTAAGACATAACCTTTTGCGTGACTGACACGTCCTACTATTACTGACCGTACTTCTGACATTAGTAGTACCACCCAACATAGCAAAACTCGAAAAGAAACCGTATGAGGTGACTCGACAAGCGTACCTGAACTATGTAGATGAACATCACGGAAAGTCCAATCCAGCTGTGCACTGATGTGAAGTGTGACAATCCCTGAATCAATTCCGAATTTAATGAATTTCTCCACGGATTAAACTATCTCCAATTTAGGTTTATTTAAATCGTTGAGTTTATAAGTTTCTCTTCATTTGAAGTCGCATGTTGTTGGAGATGCTATTTGGGTAATTGCTAGTAGGCAGCCAAGGTTGTTGGAAAGCAAGTCAGGTTTCCTCTCAGGGTCCCTACATATGCGTTTTACACTAAAGACATAAAAACAGTCCTCAAGAATTGTAATCTTTCGTCTCCCATTGTATACTTTAATAGTTAGCCAAAAATGGCGATATGCATGATAAACTGCAGACTAAACGTCATTACCTATGAAAAGCAGCTGTAAATGATTGCATACCGGAAAGTCCTTCTTTGTTAATGATTGCTCACAACATATGTTAAAAAAACAGTACTAGACAAAGTTGTATAATAATTTGGAACCTACCAGATAATTTTTTTGGACCACAATAGCAGAGAAACCCGTCAAAAACAGCGCAATCGCTAATATGTGGAAGGAAAAATGGATGAATTTCGAGAGGAGTTTTGCGTCGTATCGATATAACCGGTATGAGAGCAGGGCTAAAATAGAGAATTGAATGCAAAACAGTGCACTTTTGAAGGTAGTAACTGAAATAGCAGTACCTTCACCCTGAATGAATACCAATGCGGATGACATAAACATCCCATGAAGATTCACTCCACCATAGTTCTGTACATCATCGCGGTTGGTACCGCTCTTATCTGGCCATTTTATGCCACGACCCATCGTATTGAATAGATAACCTGAACTTCTGCTGATCTTGGAGAGAAGTGACTTTGTTTCACCAAGTCAAAAGTACATATTTTGGCTCGCAATCGAGGATAATGTTACTAATTATGGCATTTCTTCTCATTGGAAGAGTAGAATGCTTCTTTCACATTTGATTCATACTTACTGTAGCTACGGCTACACTTGTATCACTGGAGATGATTAAGAGGGAAGAAAAACTTGTTCTTTGAGAAGATATAATATTTCGATTCAGCATTTGCATCTCGATAAACCTTTTTTGGCTGCAAAATGAAAATGACTTGATATTTAAGTTTCATTACACTATTACTGGCTAAACTTGACGTAGGACGAGTTTGTGCTAAGAGTTTTAAGCTTGAAAAGATGTACAACACCGCTCACATTTTTTAAAAATAGAAGCGAACAAGTTCTGGTTTCGCAGTCCGTCAGTTAGCGTGTATAGTGTGCACTACGCATATTAAGTTATAAATGACTCGACGATAATCGCTTATTATTTCCACATACAATACCGCTGACATTTTTTGAAAAATAGACGCGAATGTATGGACATGTATGGACATGCCGCTACATGTCCATACATGTCCATACACGTCCATACATTTGCGTCTATTTTTCAAAAAATGTGAGCGGTATTGTATGTGGAAATAATAAGCGATTATCGTCGAGTCATTTATAACTTAATATGCGTAGTGCACACTATACACGCTAACTGACGGACTGCGAAACCAGAACTTGCTCATTTCCAGTGATTTCTCCTTGTTTCCTTGTTTCTTTTGTTTTAGTTGGTTATATGTCAGTCAGTAGAACACATTTCTACATTTTGTTAGGCTAGAAAATGTTCTGATGGGAAATTACTAGTATGGGTGCCGTCGCTTATAGGACTTAGTGTGCAATCTTACATATTAAGTCACAAATGACTCGAGATTACATAAATGAATATCTTCGAATTGTTGTCGAAATGCAGTCATTTACCGTTTTCACCCATTCACTGTGGCCCACATTTCTGCTTCCCTGTTCTTATAAAGGTAGCGCACTCCAGATTCGTGACTCATTTCCATCTTATGTCTTTGCACCATTTGCGACTCATCACACTTCCTTAGAAGAGAAGGAAATGAGTCACGATAGCACCAGTTATTTTTGAATCAGGTCAAACATGTATAACGTAAGAAATGCGGGGCCTACATGACTCACCAAATGGCGCGTTTTCTGTTAACGCCCAATGATAAGGTGTCTACGCGATCAAAGACTTTGGCTTTTAAGAGGTTCAAATGACAAAGTCATAACAACAAAATCAAAGCAAAGTGTTAGCCATGATTTTCCATATTAGCTGTTTATGCCCCCTCCTGAAATTGGTTCGTGAAATTTTAAGAAGAGTCACATTATTCATAAATTTGTGCAAGAGTTGTTTTTCATTTAGAATCAAATTTCTAAAATTATGTGATTTGAAAAAAAAACGTCACTAAATATTCTGGACACGGCTAAGGCATGCCTATTTATTCAAAAATATTAATTCGCACCCCGCGCCCATGATACAATTTTTGTACTGCCATTGGGTCATATGGTTCAAATATTCCACTAATTTGAGTGTAACGCCCAGTCCTTATCTCTTTGTAACCTCGTGTACATTAAGAACAATATTAAGAACAATAACAATATTTTTATCAGAGAGGTGTCAAATAGATTATGAGCTAATAATTGGGTTGTAACTGTCTTTAGGCACTGTTTTTTTCACAACAAGCAGGATTTGAGCTTGGATAGAGCGCACATATGTTAGCGCGATACCACCACTCGACTTCTCACAACGAAGGTTGTTCAAAGACTTGTAATAGAAGAAATTCCTCCCATAATAAATCCTGGTATGTGCTTGAGCTCTTCCTACTACTACAGCGATCGGGTAAGAGAATTCCACTATTCTAGATTCTGAGCGAAACTTAAATTCAATACGTAGTACGACTGCTGTACAGGCGCCGTATTGTCGGAGAGAAGAAAAACTAATACATTAAACGAAAGGAAGTTGAAGCCCAGTAATAAAACAGTAAAAATGATAATGTTTGGCACAATCACATGCTAATCGCATAACATACAATTTTGTTAAAACCAAGTGATCATAAATTGTATTATGATAAAAGTTCTCGATGTCCGTAAAGAGCTGGAAACACAAATTTCAAAGCCATATAAAATTGTATTTTTTTGCAAGTGAGAGTCTTGTGTGCATAAACAAAGATAGTTGATCTTGAAGCATGTAAACATTTTTTGTGACCTAGCACCCGATTATGGAGACATAATAACACCTTAATTTCGAAATTTGCAACAGCTACGAATATTTCAAGTAGAGTATTCTTATGCACAAGCATCACTTCACTTTTCAATACCTTACTTTTGGAAAATGTTTTCAAAATTTTTGCGAAAATCTAGTTTTTTTGCAGTTTTGTCATACAAGAAAAACTTCCCAGAAATACCGGGTGTCCCAAAAAGGTGTGCTCACTGTTTAATTGTCAGTAACTCTCTAGAGTCTTTCGAAAAGCTTTAGGTGCCATTTTGTAGAGTTGGCTACAACTTGTTTTGATGTATGGAGCGGATACCGACTGCTCACCATTACTGTAGGACTCAGATAGGGAGTTTGAAGAGGTTTTTGAGCCATGAAAGGCGATATATTGCCTCGAAAAGGAAAAAAACAACCTTAAACTCTCACAAGGGCTAATCAGAGTTGCGGGTTCTAGATGCGAAGTTCGCAACTTATCATAATGCTCCATAAAAAAAGAATGCGAGGTAAGCCAATAGCGACCGTTTTTTTTCAATATTCTAAAAAAGGCCACACCGTTTGAAAAGCTTTGCAATCTTGAACAAAGTTGAGTATTGAACTTTGCGCCCGTGAAAACGCTAATACACAAGTTTTCACATTCTTTCGAGTTTTTTTGAAACGCCTGTTTTTTTCATGCTGACACATGCTTGATATTCTATCGTAATTCTATAGTAATGAAGAACAGTTGATGATTTGCTCTATACTGTAAATTAGATTTAAGCCTTGCTTTACAAAGTATTAGCTAAAGCTTCTCGAAAAACTCCATTACAAGGGGTCTATTATCAATCAAACAGTAGGCACATCTTTTTGGGATACCTTGTATAATGAGTATTCCGATCCTTGCGGCACTTTTGATAAGGAATGTGAAATTGCGTGCATACTAAAAACTGATTGAGAAAAGTGCAGCTTAATTTCAATAATGAAGAAATCTAGCTTGCGATTACATAACCATGAAGACGCTGAGTTTAATGCTCATAATTACACATAAAAGATCTGATGCATGAAGGTTTATAAATGCAGGCACTTACCAGTGAGAATAACATAAATGAAGCCGAATAGTTGATTAAATGGTAATACTATATCAAAATATAGGTACCGACGGCGAGGGCTGGACGCCAAGGAGAGCATCTCTGTAATTCAATGTCACTTCGTCTCATGACATACTTCATTGACTTCACATTGCCGATAACAATTCAATTCTCGGTGCCATATCAGGCGTCGATGAAAAAAGGCAAAGGTGAGAGGTTAGATGATTCACTGAGGGAAATATCAGACGCAGATCTTATATATAAAGCTGAATGTCTGTTTGTATGTCTGTCTGTATGTACGTATGTTCCGAATAGAAAATTCCATTTCTGAACCGATCGGGACCAAACTTGGCACACATACACTTCGGGCCCCGGCGGGTGTCATAGGCTACTTTTCGTATCGATCGATATCGATTTTATCGATTTTTTGCAAAATTTGAGCTACGGGGCTGGGAGTTGGCACAGGGGGGTAAGTGAGCATGGGGATTCCGAATACAATATTAGATTTTAAAATCGTGCATTACTTTTATCGATTTTATCGATTTTTTTGCAAAGTTTGAGCTACGGGGCTGAGGTTTGGCACAGGGGGGTAATCGAGCATGGCCAAATTCCAGCCCCCTAGCTCAAACTTTGCAAAAAAATCGATAAAATCGATAAAAGTAATGCACGGTTTCGAAAACTAATATTGTATTCGTAATCAGCATGCTCGATTACCCCCCGCCAAATCCCGCCCCGTAGTTCAAATTTTGCAAAAAATCGTTAAAATCGATATCGATCGATGACGAAAAGTAGCCTATGACACCCGCCGGGGCCCGAAGTGTATGTGTGCCAAGTTTGGTTCGGATCGGTTAAGAAATGGAATTTTCTATTCGGAACATACGGCGGAGCCGGGTATGCCAGCTAGTCTCTAATATGAAAGAATCAGTCTTGGTAATTGTTGGCTAGGAGAAGTCCGCCGAGGAATTTCTTTTGGATATTTTTGGTTTCCTTCTCAAGGTAAGTTTATTCAAATGTGGGCTACACCCCACCTGTTGCGTTTGAGCAACATGCTAGCTGCTTAAATAAGTTACCACCAAGTATTTGTAGGCGACTTACTCGGACAGTGGAGAAATTGTTTTCTTAAGAAGAAAAAATACAAAGGCCAATTATTAGGAATTAAAGGGGTTGGCGATCGCAACTTTCAAAAACTGAAAGATACGTTGAACGTAGAATTTGACAAAAAAAAATTCGAGTTGATCTTGCATTCTCCAAAGATAAGAAAAGATGATAGACAGGAAAATAGAATCCGGGAAAATTGTAGGTTGTTTGGCATTATGCATTAATAAGAAAGGGGCTAAATGCACTATAAAAACCTTCACATTAATCTTTATGCCTATTTAGAACTGAGATTTTCTGACGAATTGCAGTGAAATTATCTCAGAACGCAGAATAATTAATTGATTGAGGAGAGTGGTTGAAAACAAACGCTCAGATACCGGTAATATGCATTTGCTAAAGGAGAGCGGAGCAAGTTTGGATAGTACGCCGGCATGTTAAACGTTGAGATCGTTCCGTAATTCCTTATCACACCGATAACGGTGTGTTTGCTAACGCACCCTTTCAGTAATGGCCCTCCGCACAATCTGTTTCAAAATTCCACCCTTTGACTGCTTTTACTTATTTTTTAACTTGATCAATCAACAAATTTTCGCCCTCTTAGAAGATGGCTTCAAGGTGCAAAGTCAAAAATAAAACTCAGTCTAGGTCCTGCTAAATTAGCCAATTTACTCATCACCCTTTCAGTTATTCGCCTGTATATACAGCTTCTCTCTAATCTCATCGCTTTCACGTCTTACCAGTGTTCTTATCCTTCTTCAAATGACGTCAGTTATTAGGTTTGCTCCTGATTTTTCCAAATTTGGTTCATTACTGCAGAGGTCCTATTCTTCTTACATCCATAGGCGCCTTGGTGCTATTTAGTAGAGTAAGGCGAGTTTTGCAAGATGGCTTTCAAGCATTCACAACGAGTTCAATCCAAATGAAATTTGGAACTAGAGTGTAAAAATTATGCAATTGCATCCAGAACGAAGAACAGAAGCTTGATCACACTCAAAAAGGAAGGAGACATTTTATGTTTCCCAGAAAAAAGGTTCAGCGCGTAACATAGGATTGTGAATTTTGTCGTACATGTTCGTTGGCCACATCGTCGCTTTTGTATCATTCTGTCCCAGACTAGGATTACTGCAATCTGCCGCTCCACGCCAGATTAAGATCAGCATGATCAATTGTAGCTCACCTAAGATGCAGCAGATGAAAGCGAGCTCGGCAAGCTCTTTACGAAGAGCTTGAAGGCGCCATCAACGAGGAAAAAAATGTTCAGTGCAAGGAAAAAACTCATAAATCCAAAAATATGACAGAAATGGTTTGGTTTGGGAAGCCAAAACGATAATGGAAACGTGTTCGTCCGATTCTAGCAGGGGCACGTCTACTCCATGAGAACTTCTTCCAGGGATGGAAAAACATCGCCGTTGAACATACACTACTCAACAAAAGCAGGGGTTCAATCGATGTCTCAGTGCTTCCTGCACAAGGACCACTGTCTACTTCTTAAGAAGATCCGCATCAATCGGTGATCAGAAAGCAAATCCTGTCACTGTCTGAAGCTTAGGAGAGAAGCTGGGTGTAAACGCATTTTCGAGAACGCAATTCCAGATACGACTTGAAGGATAAACTCGGTCGAAGGACTACGCAGCTATGCAAAACACGCAGTCCCTAAGCAGAAAATCGGGGCATGTGACGAATACTATTGAGCTCCTGCAAAGAGGGAAAGCCTGCACGTGGATCAAGTACACCGCAGCCAACAACATTCGCAGGAGAGTTGTACAAGATCTAAAACGATGTCGATAAATGAAGTCATCCAAGGCAGCGAGAAATGGTCTGAAAAGGTGGCGCAATGATTTTCGCGAATAAGACCAGACGACTTACTGATACAAGTTTTACTTAGGGATGAAAAACTAGTGAACTTTGTTTACGAAGTGAAGCGATGAGGAACGAGTTCTAAAACGCACATCTCACCAATTCGACTGGAAAAACGAAAGATTCCCTCAGAAGTGCATTCAGCAACGGCATGCTTAAATCCAACTCTTGGATGGAACCTCCGCAAACCAAGAGAGCAGGCGGTCACAAGCTAATCACTGTGCTGAAACCCATATGACAAGATTTCTAATATGACAGGAAAGGATACCAACCAGTGGAGGACAATCTGCTATATGAAACGGTTGCGAAAGGCCATAGAAACTCTCAACAGATCACTTTCTCAAATGTGTTTCAAGCCGTTTGCAAAGACCATCATGTTGCGTCTCTTGAGGACGTTGGATAATGCACAAACCCTGAGTAGGCCGATTTTTGCAAGCGATTTAGCTGCATCGATCACAATAAAACTGTCTTAAAGGACGTGGAGGTTTTCAGGATACCAACTGACCCTCCTCCTTTGTCAATTTGAAAAGGTTTATGATGGTATAAAAATTCAATTCTTACTGCCTTGACCGACCGAGGCTGGACCCAGTATAGCACAAAGACCGCAGCAGACTGTGACACACGATGTACCACACCGGCACAATGGTTCGCCCACCTCTCCGCAACCATTCGGAGATGGAGTACGACAAGACGACACCTCATCGCTTTAGTTGTTCATCCGGTGCGCAATGGTACATGTAGTTGCTCGAGTGGAAAAAGAGGGGAAGGTGAATCGACTTAACTCCCTTTTCAGACGCAAACGACATCCAGGATCAGGGTCAAGCAAGGGGTGTGGCACACGATTGCTGGTTACGACCCCCCCCCCTGATTGCTGTCTTAATAAGACCTCCCCCCCCTGAACTATATACCTAAGATAGCATTACCAAAGTTGAGAAAGAGGTCAGGCACACGTCTTTCGAACCCGCCCCCCCTCCCTCCCATGAAAGCCCTCGAACGACCCCTTCTTCCTCCTCTTAACCTCTGGACCTCAAAGTGTGACATTCTGGAGGTCACCATCTTTTTCTAGAGAGCTTTCAGATTTCTAAGAGCTGTACGCCCGAGTTTCTGTGACTGCACTTACAATCACACGTAATTTGACGGCTGATTTTGATCTGAATGGGCATATTGAAAGGGCCATACTTTTCTTATGGGTGGGGCGTTCGGCTCCAAATTTTCAATGTAGCGAAAAGAAGCTATGTGCTCAATACTCATACCAGCAATGGAGCGCTTTCTGGATTTTGAAGGCAAGTTAAGGGGTGTGCCGCACCCCATTAACTATATCAAAAAAAACATTTTTAGCGGACAGTATTTTTATGAATCGATAGCCTCAACCTTGTAGATTCCATAAGACTGTTTGGAGCCTGATTTGTCTTCTTAGCTCTAAGTAATATTTGGTGAAAGCACAGCGATCAAAAGCGAAAAATGGGAAAAACGAAATCTTGGTTGGCTTCTAATTCCACAGTTTGCAGGTTTTCTAAAGCGGGATTCCTGAGGTGGACAAAGAAGGAGTAGTGCTTTGTCTTGAGTGCAAAAACGGATAGCTAATTCACCTTTGAAACAAAGTTAACCATGTTGGAATTTGACCATTTCATTTAGGTAGCCTAGTATCTTGAATCTTCAGAATTCGCTCACACTTTGTCTACAGGGGTTAATTGACATGCTAATTATGGATATGATACGAATATCATGTTATCACTATTATCAGATTACCCAACTACGACCTCCTCCCCTTTTGACTCCTCAATACGACCCCCCCCGGTGTGGCGTGCCGCACCCCACGTTTGACCCTGGACATCCTTCTCTTTTCGAGATCCATCCAGCCGAAAAGATGTTACACGCCGATGTGCGCGAAGGCTGAAAATATGGCATCAGGTCAAACCGGAAGAAGACATAGTTAATGAGAACGAAAGACCGGCGAAACTTTCAACCGATCATTTTCTCAAATGTGTTCTACAAGCCATTTGCAAAGACCAAGACCGAGAACACCTAATGCAGTATGGATCAACTACACTTATCCAGATAGAGAGGACATCGTTCGTTTACTTGAGTGCACCATCAACATGGACATGATTGAAGGATCTCAACTGAAGATAGAGAGAGAGAGAGCATGACTTTTGGAACTTTGAGATAAGGTACAGGT